TGAACAATGTATTTTTTTTGTTGTTTTTTATCAGTTGTTTTGATATCATGTAGTGGGGGGAAAAAGAGAGTCAAAGTGGGAGGAGCAGAACCAAAATAATTCATTTTTATCTCAGTGAGATTCAATTTCCTTATTTATAGACGTATCTCAGATTGTACTTTGAGGATCATATGTGGCACTGTTTGAAAGTGATTTCTCTGGGAAAATTACTTAATTTATAAGTTGAGGGTAATAACAGCCCTATTTCAGAGACCTGTTATAAGGACTAACATGAGGAACTGTATTAACATACGGGCACATACGTTTTGTATGCTTTGCCTTCACGCTGATGACTCTTGGTTTACCCATTTTGCTGAGCATCCTCTGTATTACTAAAGAGCCAGCTGTTATGGAAGCAATCCCATGTCCACAGCACTGCTGTTTTAGCCCAGGCAGAATCATGTCAGTGTACTATTTTAATTAATATTTCTCCCACATTCTGAACCCATAGTCTATTTCTTCTTCATGACTTTTAGATAGCTATTGTGCCATTATTTTCTCTACTTTTACCAGTGTCATACAGCTTTTTTTAGTTTATTACATTCTTCCAGTTTAATTTTTCAAGCATATATATGGTCATCTACTTATATAAAAACCCTGGGTGTAACATCATGGCCAGAACCGCGACCAACCGGAAGGAAGTCATTCCTGCAGGGGTCGTCTTGGAAATGGCTGCACCCTCCCCCAGCTGTTTCCTGAAGGGCGAGGTTTCAGGCAGGAACTCACCCTCGGAGTGGAGCGTGGAAGTGAAATGATTTGTAATGGATCTGTTATTGAAGCTAACTTTGGAAATACTACATCTATAGATAATATTAAAAATACATCCAAATGTGCAATTCTTTGTCCAAAAGATGAGCATGTTCAAAAATTAAATGAATAAATTTTGGATATACTCAATGGAGATTTTCACACATATTTGAGTGATGATTCCATTGACTCCACAGATGATGCTGAAAAGGAAAATTTTCCCATCGAATTTCTTAATAGTATTACTCCTTTGGGAATGCCATGTCATAAATTAAAATTGAAAGTGGGTGCAATCATCATGCTATTGAGAAATCTTAATAGTAAATGGGGTCTTTGTAATAGTACCAGATTCATTATCAAAAGATTACGACCTAACATTATCGAAGCGGAACTATTAACAGGA